CTAAAAAGTATGCGCCGCTGCTTTAACTGAAGATGCCGCCAGGTAATTTCGGGGTTTGTATCTTTTTTTTGATCTTTTTTTTTTGCGTTTGTACTAATGAAAAGGTGTTTGAGCGCTTCCACGCAACTGCCCAGGCTTTTATCCTGATCGTTAAAAATGTAAATAAACAGCAATGTGCATCAGATTAGCCGGTGCGATCATGGGTTTTGTGCAATTCAGCCCATCGAACGATTACCTATTAATGATTTTCACTGCTTTGTGCTTTAGTCTATGCAAAAATAGTTCAAACATTGGAAAACAAGAATTTCACGCACCAGCGTATGAAAGCTGAATTCGAAACCTTGAAGGATGAATATCTTTCCGTGATTTCGATTTCATGCACCAGCGTATGAAAGTTGAATTCGAAACCTTGAAGGATGAATATCTTTCCGTGATTCCCCGCACCAGCGTATGAAAGCTGAATTCGAAACCTTGAAGGATGAATATCTTCCCGTGATTCCCGATGCACCAGCGTATGAAAGCTAAATTCGAAACCTTGAAGGATGAATATCTTTCCGTGATTCCCGCGTTAATAGTTAGCGCATGAAAGCTGAATTCGAAGCCTTGAAGGATGAATATTTTTCCTTGATCCCAGAGTTAATTTTACACCAGAGCATGAAAGCTGAACTCGAAACCTTGAAGGGTGAATCTCTTTCCGTGATCCCCGAGCTAATGGTTTACCCGCCAAAATTTTCACGAGGCCGTAGGTGGTATCCGAGAGCGCGAGAACGCTAAATTTGAATAGGCAAGGTTGAGCGTGGGCAGGGGTCATTACCCAAAATTTCAGCCTCTTAGATTCCGTGATTCCCGATATATTAATTTACCCGTAAAAAACTTTCATGGGGCCGTACGTCTTACCCGCGGGTACGGGAAGGCTGAATTTAAATCTGCCGCGTCAACCGCTGGCGGGGAACACTATACCAAAATTTCAGCCGCCTAGCTTTTGTGGCTCCTGAGTTGAAAGTGCGGTACAAAATGTGGGACACACACACACACACACAGACAACCCCGCGATAATATGCGTTTTGTACTGCTGGTACACAGCACAAAACACATAAAAAAACCTTTTTTCCCATCGCTGCTGGCTTTCGCGTGGACTGGATCCTCGCCGAATACATCATACAGTGACATAGTGGCACCAAATTGCACGATTTCTCTTGGACACCTGCAAACATATAGTCCCCTCTTTAGCAGCTATGCAATATCATGTAACGTTACGTTCACAGAAGAAGCGCTGCACGTAGTCGTATAAGGAGGGCAACGAGACAAAAAGCATCGCAATCTCAACGAGAACTCTAATTATGCGTTTTGTGCTGTGTAACAGCAGTACAAAACGCATATTGTTACGGGGTTGTCTGTGTGTGTGTGTGTGTGTGTCCGCAGCAACTTGTCCGCAACTTTCAACTCGGGAACCACAAAAGCAGGAAGCTGAAAATTTAGGGTAACGTTCCCCACACCACGTGTGACCCCGCAAATTTAAATTCAGCTTCCCCGTACCCGCGGGTAACGCGTACGGCCCTGTACGTGTGACCCCGCAAATTTAAATTCAGCTTCCCCGTACCACAGGTAACACAAACGGCCCCGTGAACGTGTGACCCCACAAATTTAAATTCAGCTTCCCCGTACCCGCGGGTAACGTGTACGGCCCCGTGAAAGTTTTTCACGGAACCCCGCAAATTTAAATTCAGCTTCCCCGCACCCAAGGGTAACGCGTACGGCCCCCTAAAAGTTTTTCACGGGTAAGTAAATATCTCGGGAACCACGGAGTCTAGGAGGCCGAAATTTTAGGATAATGACCCACTGCCCATGCTCAACCTTGCCTATTTAAAATCAGCCTTCCCTTACCCGCGGGTAGTACGTACGGCCCTGTGAAAGTTTTTCACGGGTAAGTCACGGGCAAGTTAATATCTCGGGAACCTCGGAGTCTAGGAGGC